CCATAAGCCAGGTGCCTATATTGGATAGAAGGACAAACCTTACATGTGAAAGTAGGCAAAAGGAATAAGAATGGGAATAATGGTTACAGGCTACAGGCAATATGGGCTGGGGTTGCAAAGGGCTAGCACCTCTGGGACTCCATTGTTTCGGCAGCAAGGTTGTTAATCTTTCCATGATGATAGGCAGTTCTCAGAACAGGAGAATGGACCTAATTCCCAAGTTAACTCCCATGTCCCGAGGAGTACAACTCTCAGCCAGGCTAAAATGTCCTTTCTCTAATCAGAACAGAATAATCACAGTTAACAGAGCATGATTCATATTTCTTATAACTATAGCTAGTCCCCACTATGCAATTTCTGCCCCTAACACCACTATTCTACTTCTGCCCCTAACACACCCATCAGATCCCAGGTCACAGAGGGACCTTGTTTTCTAAGCCAGCACATGTGCCTGGGGTGGGGTACCCACCCAGCTGCTGACCGAGCCCTTTCTTTCTCTCTTGAAAACTGCTCTCTCCATCTGAAACTGGGCCCAGAGGTACTGCCACCAAAAACAGGCTGGACCAAGGTTTAGGTGGCCCCTCTTCTGACTCCCCTCTTCCTTTGACTCTAATAGGGGCAGCAGTCACGTTCCTTGGGTTCAGGACAGGGCTGGAGGTCCCAGCTGGAGCAGATGATTGCCTGCTTTGGTTCAAAGCCATCTAAGCCCAATTAACTTCAGATAAAAAGGAGCACTCCATGTGATCCAGCACAGGTATGGGAGTTCTAATATTAGACTTGGATCCAAAGCCCCTTGCCTTGCTTCCTTTGTGCATTTTTCTCCTGTGGGATGTAAAGAGGAAGGTGTCTGGGCTAAGGCAGCATTCATCCACATCGGGTCCCACAGCCAAATGTGCAATCAGACATCTCCAAAAAAATGGTTTTAAGGTTATTCATATGTTTTGCCAAGTTCTATATTGAACATTTATTATTTCATAAACAGAAAAAGTCATTATCTTAAAAAGTTATATACTCCCAACTGTTCATTTTCCCAACTAATGTTTGGGATGCAAAATCAGAACGCAACCCATTACTCCTTGACTGACTTGCTTTGTGTAACAGATTGAGTATATAATTAACAATTGAACTGTTGATATTTGGATAATAAAGATAAAAATGTATAAAGAGGTCATAGTTGGTCTTCTTAGGAATGGAAATAAGAGGAGAAAAGAGGTAAACCTGAAGAAACAACACAACTAAGAAAAAAATAAAGGAGGAACAAAGAGTCGGGCTCTATTCTTAGGGACTGCATGGTCATAACTGTCACGCAATAACTGTTGGGTGTTTCAGAAAAAGATACTGAGAAACTATGGTGGAACCAAGAGCCAGCTTGTGGCCCCCAGAATCAGCCATTCCCCTGGAACCAGTTAGTGCCTTAGAAGGAGGGTAAGAAGTCCCCTGGAACCAGTTAGTGCCTTAGAAGGTGGGTAAGAAGATTGTTCTGAAATTACTTTGCTTTTTTTTTTTTTATGGTGTTCCAAGAACTTTAATTCAAGGCTTAGATTGTGAAAGCATGTATAAATATTGGCATTAAGAGTGTATTTGTTTAGATTATTATAGTTTTGTTGGGGTTTTTTGTAAAGACTTTTTTATGAGCAGTTTTAGGTTGACAGCAAAATTGAGAGGAAGGTACAGAGATTTCCTAAATACTTCCTGCCCCCACACATGCACAACCTCCCCCACTATCACCATCCCCCACCAGAGTGATATTTGTTACAACCTATGAACCTACATTGACACATCATGATCACCCAAAGCCCAGAGGTTACCTTAGGGTTCACCCATTATATGGATTTGGACAAATGTATAGTGATATGAATCCATTATGATGACATTATTCAGAGTATTTTGCCTGCCCTGATTACTTTGCATTTATACTGTGTCACCATATAGTGACTTTCTCCACCCTACTGTAAAGACATCTCCCTCAGTTACCTAAGTCTAAAAAACATGTGCATGGTTGAGCACCGGAGGAAAATTCAACCAGAGTGATGACAGCAGAGAAGGGTAACTGAAGGGGTGTGAACCAGTAGGAAGGCTGGAAAACACTGTTGGGTAAGGTGTTTCCCTGGGGCTCTTTAATTCAGATTAGCCCTCTCTAAAATTCTGGTCCTTGGTTTACAGAGGAAATACTCTGTTAAGTCAAGAGCCTCAGGGTAGTAACTGCTGAAGTAAGTTTGGCTGAAGTTTTCAGTGCAGAGTTTGTTCATAGGAGAGAAATTGAAAGTTAATTGGGCTGTTGGCCCTTCTGAATGTTTGAAGGAAAATTAACAACTAGAAATGTTTAAAGGGGTTCCCAATTTTGTGTTTAGACCATTGCCAGATCACCCATTGAGAAATAAAGAACATTCAGGGTTTCAGTAATTCTTTTCTCAGGTACATTGCTAAATCAAACAGTCATTAACAAAATAAATACATTTCTTTATCTTTATTGTCTACATATCATCAGCCCTATTATTAACATTTATTTGCATAATGCTGCGCTCTGAATAAGATCATTAATATAAATTAACTCCTTTAATCTTTTCTTTTTTTCTTTTAATCTTTTCAATGGTCTTATGAGGTGAGCAATAAAGGTAAAGGTTTGTCATCCTATTTACACATAAGGAAATTGAGGGTTCAAGGTTACACTGCTAGTTAAGTGGCGGAGCTGAGACTCAAATGTGGAACATCACACTGCTGACCTGGAGTCCTCTGCATTGCTGAGATGACCTAATCCAGGGTGCACTCAACTCTCGTAATGGTTAAAAGCACTGAAATTGGAGAATATTTGTTTTAAACACAACCTTACACAAGAAGTGTCACAACAGAAATGAATCAGAGAAGTTCAACTAAAATGCTTGTGGAGACTGAGCCACTTTCATACCAAGGTAGACTGAAATGTTTATAACTACTTAGGCTCAAAGGGAACAGATTGAAGACTAATGAAGGGAACTTAACTTTCATTTCAACCTTAGAAACTAGAAATGACCTCCTTGAAGTTTGGGCAATATTGTTTTAGGACAAGCACAAACAGTGGGGTCATGTGACTGGCTGAGGTAGCCTGGCCTCTTAAGAGCTACAGAAGGTTTTTCAAATGCCCACTCCGCAAAGTGTAGAAAGTCTAAGCTCTTACCCCAGATTTTTACAAATTTTCAGAGGCTTGTGTTTTTATATTTACCTCTGGCTCTAATTTCTTTCTTCTAATGAATTACTTGAGTTTATGAACTTCACGCTATTCCATACTGGATCTACCCTGATAGGAAATTTAACCTATGTCTTTGATTTCTTTCACTCGTCTCCTACCAAGAAAACAACAAGAAATAAACATAGTCTGATTATAAAGACCTTTGTATAGAAATGTCTGGGAAAACCAAAGATATTTGCATTGCAGAAACACAAACAATTTTAAATCATGTGTTAAAACCTCCCTCTTCCCAACGGTCATTTTGGCCACTGTGCCACCAGATGTTTCACTGGCCAGACTCCCTACATACAAGGCTTTGTGACAACTAGCTGGCTCCCTCTCCCTCTTTCCCCTTCAGTCTCTTTTCCCTACCCTTCCCACCCCAATGCTGCCCCCAGGAACTACAAATTCTTGTTATTTGTTGACTGGCACTTCAATTCTCTTCAGCCCCTATTGCCAGCACCACATCAGAAGTCATCATGATGCTCAGTTGAAAAATAAGGATCATTAGCATATTAGCCCAGAAGACCTGCAAAGATTCTGCTATGTCTGACTTTCAAGGCATCTACATGCCTTGAAGTCCATTGTGATTTTGAAAACCACTTCCCTCCTTTTTTACAATATTATTTTCTCAAAATATCAAGGAGTACCAAAGGTCTTAGACTCAAAAAGTTGCAAGTTAATGATTACCTTGAGCATCTTGAAGGTTTCCATGCTCATATATAGTCCATAGGACATGGCCCATCGAGGATATTTCCAGAGGCTGCATCTGAGATCTGTGGACCATAGGGTTATCTCAACATGGCTTCTTTGTCTTAACCTTGTTATAGGATCCACATGTGAGAAGGAAGTATGTAGGGTAGATTCTTTTTGCCTTGTTTGGCAATGGCCCTCAAAGTGTAATGAACCCTCCCAACCTATTAGGGACTAATCAGAAGTTAATTGTACATTGAGAGAGTATGTATGAAAGGAGCCCGAGCCCAAAAGAGTGAAAAAAAAATTAGGCCTCATAACCATTTATCACATAAGACACTTTGCTTTTTATTTCATAATGGTCCTTGAAAAGAAAATTCCTTTTATTTCATTTTCTTTATTTATGCTGAGCTTTGAAAGTGTGAGAATATTAATGAGAAAGAGGAAGAAATTATTTAAGCAGGAAAAGCCAGGAATAAACTATCATCTAGAAATATTAAACCAAGGAAACTTAAACTGCTAACTTGAACATTTTATTTTTTAAGTTTCTTAATCACAGTCCAAGAACTTATTTATATGCAGCATTTGAGACATTAAGTAAATATGTTAAATTGAGAGTCAGAGCCTTTACTTAACCCAGTCTGTTTCTTCCAGTTAAGGCATATAGTAATATAAATCATATCAATATTATCAACCTCAATGTCTTTATTGACTTTGTCAGTAAAAATTAGAATATTCTTCTAATGCTCTATGCTTGTGATTATTGTGATTATAGCTGATTTGTCTGAGTGCTACCTAGGAGAAGAGGTGGGTACTTTACATAGTCTGTATTTTTTTTTTTTTTTTTTACTTCTCATGGAAAATTTCAAATGCGAATATAGAATACCCTCTTATGCAAAAACATCAAATTTCTGTTATTCTTTTTTCATGCATTCCCCTTAACATTTTTTTTTTCAATCCTTACCCAAGGACATGTTTTTTAAATTTTATTTTAAAGAGAGAGGAAGTGGAGGGGAGGTCGTGGAGAAACATTGATGAGAGAAAGAAACATCAGTTGGTTACTTCCCGTGTCTACCCCAACCAGGGAGCAAACCTGAAACCTAGGTATATGCCCTGACCAGGAATCGAACCCAAAACCTTTCGGTGTTTTGGATGATGCTCCAACCAATTGAGCCACCTGGCCAGGGCCTCTCAACAGTTTTAATGAGTTATTTTAAAATAGATCCCAGACATCATATCATTTCATCTATAAATACTTCAGTGTGTATCTGAGGTAAAGACTTTGAGAAAGCCATAAAACCATGTCACAACCAATGAGATTCACAATAATTCCTCAATATCATCTAATTCTCAGTCCATACTCAAATATTCCTGATTGTGGCAAAAATGTCTTCCACACAGTCAGCTTGTTTGATGCAGGAGTCAAATGAAGTCCCTACACTACATTTTGCTGTTATTATCTTAAGTTACTTTTTATCCATACTTGTTTCTTCTTTTTTTATGTGTGTGCCACTTAATTTTTAATAAAGTGGGACATTTGGGGTAGAATTTCCCACTTTTGACCTTGATGGATTGTCTTTGTGGTGTTGCTGAACATGTACCACTATCTCCTGTATTTCTCTGGTAGATCTAGAACTAGGCTGGAATCAGGCTCAACTTGGGAGGGGCAAGAATACTTCATAGGAAGTACTCTGTATTTCCTCTTATACCAAATTAGGAGACTCCTAATGACTGAATGGCCCACTTTTAGTAATGCTAAGATGGATGAGTGGGTTCAGGTGAAGCCAGCCTGATTCCATCCTTTTGCACACGTAAATCTTGACCCCATCTGAAAATTATTTAACTGTAACGAGTGAAGCAGGGATCTGGTTTTAAGCCATCGTTGGTTAAGTATTCCATCTGACGTCAGAGGTGAAGTGTGGTGGTACAGTGTGAGGGTAAAGGAGAAGCATAGTTTTTCTTTCTATACAGCACCGTCCAGGTCCATAAATAGAACATTGCCAGATCCTGGAAGCCCCACATGCTCCTGCCTAATTAAAAGAGCCAGTAGAAAGAATTCCAAACATATCAGTAATTCCCCAAAATGTGAATGAGCTAAACCCATTTATTAAAATATATATATCATTTGAGGGAGAATTGACATCTTTATAACCCCGAGTCTTCCTGTGTAAGAATTAGGTATATTTTCCCTTTCATCAAGTTTTCCTTATGATCTCCAGCAGAGCTCTCAAGTTTTCTTCTTTCTCCCATGTCATTCTCATGGGGCTCCTCATCCTGTATTTGATTTTTGTTTGTTCAGTGTTTTAAAAAATGTCTAAGTAGAATAGTTGGCATTTATTGCTGTTAAATCTCAAGCCCTTGATTTAATTCCAGTCTGCGCTTCACACCCCTCTCTGTCTTCACACAAATCACTGATATAAAAGCGCGGCTGCCAGGACAGAGCTTCGGCTCTGTGCACGATGCCGAAGATTCCCTTCACGGGTGACACGTGGCCCATTCATCAAAAGTATTTAAGAATAGTTGTATCAACATCTGTCACTTCATCTAACCACACTGTTATATGATCTGTATTTCTCCATTTTGTCTTCAAGAATGTCATGGAAACCTTTCTAAAGTCCAAGCAAAGTACAACTGCCATAGTCCCCTGATTTAGTTATAAAGTAAATCCAAAGGAGAAAAAAATACCTGAAATTAGATTGATCTGGTTTATTTTTTTGTTTTAAATTTATTTTATTTTTTTATTGATTTTAGAGAGAGGGTGGGAGAGAGAGAAAAACATCAGTTGCCTCCCGCACGTACCCCAACAGGGAATCGAACCCACAACCTTTATTCCAACCAACTGAGCCACACCGGCCAGGGCAACCTGCTTTTATTCTTAATGAAGTTGTACTGGTTCTTTATAGGCATCTTTTTTGTTTCTAAGTTCCCATGAACCATTCATTAAGTAACCTTTTGGAATGTACTGGGAATCAACTCCCCTATATTTTCTACGCTCAGCTGTCTGTGGTAGGTTGGATTATCGTTACTAGTTCTCCACTTACCTGTATTAGAATAATATATTCTTTTCTTTTGCTGTGTGATGTTGCAGGATTCCCACTGGAGCCGGTGGATTCTGTTTCCCTGCAGCATTGATAGTGGACATGGCCGTGTGGTTGCTCTGACCAACGGGAAGAAGGCAGGCAGAAGAGACTGCGGTAGGTGCAAGCCCAGTGCTTAAAAGGCATTGCATATCCACTCACTCCCCGGGTACTGCCATTCACCAGGAAAATCACCCATCCCAGGGATTTCTGGTCCAGCAGAATGCAAGACACATGGAGCTGACCTGAGCTAGACCCACACAGCCTGAAGCAGAGCTGCCCCAGATGACCTGCACATCTGCGAGTGAGATAAATGAAAGTTTGTTGTAAGCCACTGAGATTCTGAGGTTGTTTGCTGTGCAGCAAAAACGAACACACTCTCCTTTTTGAAAACGGGACATAACTAGTCCATCTACAGCCTTTCAGCACTTCCAGTGCTCTTCATGAATTCTTAAAGATTACACATAGTATATGCATTCAATGGAATATTATCCATCCTTAAAAAGAAAGGAAATTCTTTTTGCTAGTAGCCATCCTAATAGGTGTCAGGTGTCAGGCATCTCATTGTGGTTTTAATGTGTTCGTAGAGACAGAAAGTAGAACGGTGATTGCCAGGGGCTAGAAGGAGTGGGGAATAGGGACTTGTTTAATGGGTACAGGGTTTCAGTTTGGGAAGATAAAAAAGTTCTGGAGATGGATGGTGGTGATGGTTGCACAATTTGAATATACTCAATACCACTGAACTGTACACGTAAAATGGTTAAAATAATAAATGTTATATTATGTATTTTTAAATCACATATTACTATATAGTGGAGCATTAGTTTGAGTTCTCAGAAAATCTGATTTTTGAGACAAGGACTTAGGTTTAGGTCGTTTATTTGGAAGGTGGAGCCAGGAAGCTCAAGTGTGGAAATGGGGAAAGTGAGTCAGAGAAAACAAACCGCCAATGCAAAGGAGTGTTAATGAGAGAGCGCCAGCAGTGAGCAACTACTGCTTGATCCTGAGCAACCGTGTGATCGTGACTTACAAACACCTCCCTGGAGGACCGGAAGGTTGCAGCGTCTATCACTGACTCCCATTCTGCATTGGGTAAGACTTGCCTCTGGGGGCATTAACTGCCCTCCCACTTTCTGGGTTGTACCTGAGAGCCGCCAAGTGATGTCCAGTGGTGACAGAGAAAGCCATCACACAGAGAAGAGAGGGTTGGGTGCTCGAGGTGGGAGTCCAGCAGCATGCTGGAACTGTCCACCTTAGCTGCAAACTCAGGTGGGCCTCTGGGATAAGGGGCGAGGCACCAACGATATCCTATGATGGAATGACAATCTTAGCTGCCTGGGGGTATTCAGCTGGACAACTAGGAGCTCGACTTCCTCTCATCTCTCTTGGGCTTGAGGCACCAAGGTGCTGTTTATTCCGTTTGTTCCAATTTGACCTTTCCATCTCCCTGATAAGAATGGTGAAAAGGGGGAAGAGTTATGTCTCATTCCCATTGCTTGTTCATATGATGTCACCCACTTCAAGCAACGGGATCCTGTTCTCCCACTAACTTGTACTAGGAAGTTTGAAATGCTTCATATTTTTTGTGGCTTTTCTTATTCCTCCCAGTTTCACCGCCCCATCACTACCACTTGTTCCCATAAGCAAGAGAGACCACTTAGAAAGTTCACCTGGCTAATTCCAGTCTGTTTTGACAACAACGGTCCAAAGCCTTGTGTGTGTGTGCTCACGCGCACGCCAGAAAACACTAAAAGTTCCTGAGAATCCTCAACTTTTACCATTAGATAGACCTGGCTTCATAGAATTTTAAAATTTTGAACTTGGGTTCACTGATTTAGTAGGTGGGGGGGAAGGTCCTCACCTTGGAAGACTGTTCCAAGGTTGCATTCTCTTCTGGGGATGCAATTTGCAGGTTGGTCACTAATGGGGAAAGGGGTGGGACAAGCATTTTATAATTAACCTCCCACAAGAACAACTTGTTCTTTAAATTCAGAAGCCAAGGAACTTTTAATAGAATCAGTTTAGAGGAAACTGGGTTGTTTTTTTAAAATTCAAGTGGAGCAATTCTTATTCAGTCAGAACCAAAATCCTGTCTAACTTTATTTGTATCACACTCGTTGGCACAAATCGCCTGGTGATGAAAATAAAAGAGCCTGTGTAAAGGTCTGGGAATGAAAACAACAGACAACAGAGAAAAAGGAAAAAGAAGAGTGAAAGGAAACAGCAAGGGGAGAGGGGGCAAGATGGGGAAATGGAAAGGAAAGGAAAGGAAAGGGGGTGGGGAGAGTATTTGCACTGGAAGGTGCTTTAAGGAACAGCTAATTTAACCCTTAATTTCACAGTAAGATCATTGAGACACAGAGAACTTACCTTGCACCGTGGCCCGAATAGTTAATGACGAAGCCTATAGCCAAGATCTCCCAACTCTTGTTCAGTTTCCTTTCCTTGCCCTCTTCCCTCCATACAGGCTCATTCTTTTTTTTTTTTTAAACATTCATTCATTTTTTAATTGGGTTAACTCATGAGAATAGAAGCAACTGCTTCCTAGAACAGTCCAAGGGAAAGATTTGGATGCATTTAGAAGACTAGGGAAAAAACCAGGAAATTTTCAGTCAAGCATCTGACTGACATTTATTTGTCCAAACATAGTTAGTTGCCTACCTGAAAACTAAACTCTGAGTTTTCTTCTGGTTGGAAGCTGTTCCCCCAACACAGCCAATTTATCTAGCACAGAAACTCCTTCAGGGCAGATTCCAAAGCTCTATCCAGTTGCTCTGGAAACTGGTTACTGTCCTGAGCCATCCTGACACAATCCATCCCCAGCCTGAGTTGTGCCGGGATTTCCAGTAGGGAAAGAGTGAAGCTGGCAGGGCTTCCATTCTGATCATCTAATCTTCTAATCTTGCGCTAAGGTATACGTGGTTCAACACCACACACACACACACACACACACACACACACACACACACACAGAGGCACAGGCACATAAACATAACTTGTTCAAGGATTTTTGCCTTTCAGCCCACTTCACCCATATCTACCTTTTGTATCAGTTAACATATTGTAGGGCAGGAGGGGAGTGGGTGCAGCTCTAGGTAACAAGGAGTTGGAGATCCCTACTCTGAAGTAAAGTCCATTTCCCAGGATTACTCCAGTGGAATGTTCTGATGTTTCTGATACCCTCTGACAGGTATTCAGAATCTGGGTGTATTTAACAAACTATGGGTCAATGACACCCAGAAATCCTTTTGCACCAATTTTTATGCTTGGAGGTAATGGTTAGTCTGTGGAGAAGTTGGAAGTCAAGTTCAAGGGAGGAAAATAAATTCAAGGGGAGATTAGAGGAGATACAACCTTGGGGTGCTGTTTTCATAAGGGAAAACATGAAGTTTAGGGCACAAGCATCGTTGCTAAAGGACCTAGGAGCCTGAGCCAGGGTAGATCTGGGTTGGAGGTTTCCACCTGGGATGCAGTGTGGCTCATGCAGCGGCCGAGATGGAAGGGAACACAGGGAGCAGTGTTGACATCTAAAGGGCTCTGCGGCCCTTTGCTCAGGAAGCAGCGGCCTATGAGGGGGAGTTCATTGCTCTTAGAGAGCAGGCCTAGCAGCAGCTGTGGTAAGACACTGCCCTCAAGTGGCTTGTGGGCTGGGGATCCCAATGAAGAGGCAATAGCCAACTTGGTCTGGGACATATCTGCCACCCGCATTAAAAGTGGGATATTGAATAATCCTAGGTCATATAGGTGGCAACTGTGAGCTAGCAAAATTATGTATTAATGTTAGCATGGTGTGCTTCCACATGGTAAGGAGACCTGGGAAGAGGCCATTCTCTCATTCCTCCTCCTACACCCATGCTCCATTTTTCTCCAGCACCCCTGATTCCAGCTCCACAGATCAAAAACACCATTTCCCCATAGCACTTCTGCGTCCTGCAGTTGTACGAGTTATACACCACTCACAGTTATGCAAGTGTATATTACATGATTGCAGAACTACCCACCTTATAGACAACATAGATATTTTGTAAATATTTTGTGACAAATGGCTGTGAAATGACTTGAGGTCAGCAGCTTTTTTCTAATTTACACAAGGTTGCCATATTGGCAAGTAGAGGGCTTCCCCAGAGTTCCTTCAGAGAAAGCCTCTGATCCAGGTGTGGTAGCCCAGGAGATACCCAGATGGACTCCCACAGAAGAAAGGCCCTCCAGGATTGAAGCTGAAGTTGAGGAACTGTTAGACTTTCTGACGTTATTACTTAGCTGTATGGGTTAGGGAAAGGGTGAAGACAAAAATGTGTGGATTCTTAGCAGTTGACTGTCAAGTTATGAGATGATCTATAAAGACAAACTTGCCTCATTCAGGCACTAGTTCTGGACTGACAGCTCAGGTGCAGAATGAGTGTTCTATTCATCTGTTTGTACAGACTCAACATAATACCCATCACCTAGATGTTCGCTGAGTTGAATTTTGTTGAATTCCTGTTTCAATAAATGTTATCAATAAGCACATCAATAGCAGACATATTTGAAGTTTTACCACCTTTCTTTAGAATATAGTTCCAATATACAGATGATATATTATAAAATTGTACACCTGAAACCAATATAATATTATTAACCTATGTCACCCCAATAAATTCAATTTTTAGAAAAGAATGTAGTTCCAGGATGTAATGCAAGCAGTTTGAGTCTTTTCTCTGTGTCACAGCTTGAGTGGGGATGGAAGACTGTGTAAGACAGAGGAACATGACAGGAAAAAAATTAACATTTGTCAAGTACCTACTATGCACTGAATGCTCTACTCTCATGATCTCTGTTAAGGGTTTGGTGTAAGGTTTAGAAGTTCTAGTCTATCCTCCACTCTCTTCCTCTCTCAATGTTATAAACAAGCAAATTTACTCACTAGGGACAATAACCATATGCTAAACAAAGAAACATTTTAGAAACAGCAGCCTCCATCCTACATCAGTAGTAAACAGGAGGTTAGAGAATTGAACTTATGAAGAGGCCTCCTGGTTCTTCCTCTCCTGAATCAAAGGTGGTCAGTTCCCCAGAGCAGATCTAACCCAATTTACCACTCAGTTCCCTGTAGAGATGCTGGAACACAGAGAGAATGTATGAGGTAGGCCTCGAACCTCATGAAGATAGGAAATAAAAAGAAAGAAATGGCTAACCTATCCAAAGGACCCAGGCCTTCTTTCTGAACCAACCCCATTGTATTAGTTATCATTGCTGTGTAACAAACTATCCCAACACCTAGTGGCTTAAAACGATAGCATTTATTATCACCCAGTTTCTGTGAGTCAGGAATCTGGGCATGCCTTGACTGGGTCCTCCAGCTCAGGTTCTCTCACACAGTACAATTCAGTTCCTGTGAGCTGTTGGACTGAGAGCCTCAGTCCTTTACTGGATTGTTGGCCAGAAGCTTCCCTCAGTTAACACATGGGCCTCTCTATAGGGCAGTATATAATATTAGCTTGCTTCATTAGAAAAGGCAAAAGAAAAAGGCAAGAGCAAATAAGAAGTCACAGCTTTCT